ATCGAGGATAGGAGTTTTTTCATTTTAAGTGCTGTAATCTTGCGTTAAGGCTTACTCTGCGTCTCCCTGATCTTTTTAGAGTATTATAGTGATGTGTGAGGACCAATAGAATCTTGTTCCAACAAATCCATCATTGAAGCTACAGTGTGTAATTCTGGTGGACTCTCTGCACAACAATCTTGTCTTAATTATCTTTGTGAAGAGGGGTTTTTGTTGGTAAAATAGGGTTCTCTCATGTTTCAGGCGTTTACTACAACTCCATTCTCACTGGAGCGATCGTTTTCTGGTCCCTTAATTTCTTTGCATAGACGAGTCCATGTGTCGGAAAAGATAGTGTGGCTCAGGATGTTCAGTTGTCACAATCTTCCAACTTTTTTTGTCCTCTTACAGTTGAAAGAGAAGAAACGAATAGAAGAGGCTGGCGGATGGGTGCTTTTCAATGGAGTATGGCGGGTATTGGGTATCTTGGCGGTTTCCAGAGCCATGGGAGACACGCTTTTCAAGGACAGGAATTTGGTCATCAGTGACCCTGACGTGCTGTGCTTTCCATTGCGGGGGTCCTCGGATCCCAAGTTCTATATTTTGGGTGAGTGAGTGAGATGGATGTTGGTCTGATTTTAAATTAGCTGTGATGCATCTACTCTAGTAACAAATGCCCTTATGTTAGACGCGTAGCTGCAGTATTGAAAAAAATAAAATTCTTGATCTGGGCTTGCTTCCTGCTTTTCTTGTGACAATTCAGTTTCATAAATTAAAAACAAATTTCAACTGATAAAATGTGAACGTGCTGTATTTCGTTGGCTTCTCAGTTTAAATTGAACCTAAATACATATTTTGGAGCAGTTTGACAATTTCAAATTTGTTCAAAAGCCCTGTTGCTGAAAAATTCCTACGCCCTTTTATATTTGGTACTGTACTATATTTAATTCAGACATTTGAATTTTTTTTTTCCTCCTTTTCAGCCTCTGACGGACTGTGGGACGTCTTCAGCAACGAGGAAGCTATTATGTTTGCGCAAGATTTGTTCAGTCAGAATGGTGAGTCGAGTACGGCACGCACGCAATTCTTCCTGAGTTTCTCATACACGATTCTTGTTCGTTTCTCTTACAGAAGATGTTGCTACAGTGTCCAAGAAACTGGCCCTGGAAGGGGTACGGAGAGGCTCTACAGACAATGTCAGTGTGTTGAGTGTGCTACTGCCTGACTTGGGCAACAAGAAACGGGTTGTGGATCGACGCCAGTCTGTCAACAGTCCTTCGCTGGGAAGGAAACAGGTCCTTATGA